GTTATTCTATTTATCTCAGAGTTTCAGTAGTTCTCATTACTTAGCAACCTTCTCATTTCTTCTTCTTTTATATGGAGGGGATTGAACTAGATGGTATTCAACTAGATGGTTGATAACCCCTTTAGAGTTTTACCGTGCCATAACCTTGGAGTTGCACCCATGGAACAAGGTATTTTCTTTATCCTAACAGGTTCTATGGAGATTTGATGGCAAGAAACCAGACACCTTAGGACCCAACACTCAGTTGTACAAGTGGATACCCCAGAATGACCTTCTTGGTAAGATACTGGAGAAAAAATACTGAATATATGACTAAAAGCCAATTAGAGTGATAATAGGTCAACAGCAACTAACATAGTGAGTATTTGTTATTGAAAACTCAAATATAAAACCTAACTATTATATATTTATTTTCTAGCCCTTAGGGGAAAGAATACAGTATATCATTTGGCATTTTGTTACATACATCCATGTTCTTTGTGTCCATATACAAAGTATTAATACCTTTATTTCAGTCGTAATTGACTATCAGAAAATTTTTCAATAGCTTCCTGGGTCATCTTACTCCTATCGCTAGAACTTTACCCCATACTTTTCCCTACGGTAGGTTATTTCAAATGCCAGTGAAAAATAACAGATCTTCTTCTGTAACCAGTGACACTGCATTCTCTATTGGGATAAATCACCAATTTTTTTTTTATTTCTCCATATTATGGGGGTACAAATGTTTAGGTTACATTGCCCTTGCCCCCCACCCAGTCAGAACTTCAAGCATGTCCATCCCCCAGATGATACGCAACACACTCATTATTTATGTGTATACTCATCCCCTCGTCCCCCCTCCCCTCTAGCTGACGTCCAATAAATGTTATTCCTGTATGTGCACTTAGGTGTTGATCAGTAAAACCAATTTACTGGTGAGTACATGTGGTGCTTATTTTTCCATTCTTGGGATATTTCACTTAGTAGAATGGGTTCCAGCTCTATCTGGGAGAGCACAAGAGTTGCTATATCACCTTTGTTTCTTATAGCTGAATACTACTCCATGGTATACATATACCACATTTTATTAATCCACTCATATATTGATGGGTACTTGGGTTGTTTCCACATCTTTGCAACTGTGAATTGTGCTGCTATAAACATTCCAGTGCAGGTGCCTTTCTAATAGAGTGTCTTTCCTTCTTTTCGGTAGATGCCCAGTAATGGGATTGCTGGATCAAATGGTAGATCTACTTGTATCTCTTTAAGGTATCTCCATATTGCTTTCCACAGAGATTGCACTAGTTTGCAGTCCCACCAGCAGTGTATAAGAATTTCTATCTCTCCACATCCATGCGAACATTTATTGTTTTCAGATGGTTTGATAAAGGCCATTCTCACTGGAGATAAGAGATATCTCATTGTGCTTTTGATTTGCATTTCTCTGATGATTAGAGATGTTGAGCATTTTTTCATATGTTTCTTGGCCATTTGAAAAGTCTTCTTTTGAAAACTTTGTGTTCATGTCCTTTGCCCACTTTTTGATGGGGTTGTTTGATTTCTTTCTTGCTGATTTTCCTGAGTTCTAAATAGATTCTGGTTATGAGCCCTTCATAGGATGTGTAGCATGCAAAAGCTTTTCTCCCATTCTGTAGGTTGTCTGTTTGCTCTCGTTACAGTTTCTTTGGCTATGCAGAAGCTTTTTAATTTGATCAGGTCCCTTTTCTTTATTTTTGTTGTTGCTTTGATTACCTTTGGGGTCTTCTTCATAAATTCTTTGCCTAGTCTGATGTCTATAGGAGTTTTTCCAATATTTTCTTCTAGAATTCTAATCATTTCACATCTTAGGTTTCAGTCTGTTAACCACCATGAG